TTCTCCCTTCTCTAGCTTTGAATTGCCTTGGGTTTACTTTAATTGCTCTTGTTCCTCCAATTTTTGGGTAAACCCGTGAGCTTTCCCTGTAGCTTGCCGCCGGCCTCTTCCCCGGATTTGGGTTTTGGGGCGTGACAGATTTTGTGGTATCAGAGCTTAGGTTGAAATTAAGAGCTTATGATTAAATTAAGCACCTCCAAATTGAGTGGCATCAAAGCAGATTGAGTGGTATCGGAGCTTAAGTTTAATTGAATACCTAGGTTTAATTGAATACTTAGGATTGTTTAGGACTTGGCTAGCCAATGGATTTTAGAACCGTGGTGAGACGAGTGATGAGGTTATATAGGGGACGATTCTGATTCATGTTACCTGAATTTTTCTAATCCATTTTGATGAGATGGTAATTTGATTGTTCTTGTTCCTGCCTTCATACTCTGTGTGAAGTTGTGAAAGTAATCTTGCCCGTTATGTTCTTAAGACCTTGTTTTGAAACTTGGTCATTTTCTGATAGTCTGCACTTACTTAGACTTGTTACTTGAATAGAATTTTTGTATGCTCTTTTGCCACAATTGTAAAATTTGGGGAGTTGCAGACATCTTTTGTTGTTGATCCTGTTGGTCTCTATAGCATAGCTGGTGGAGAAATTTATTTTGTTTGTCATATGACCAGGGGAAGATGGGCAACTCTCTACTTTGTAAGAGATTCAAGGCTATTTTAGCAAATATTGTGTGTTTTTTAGATGTGTTTTAGGAGCCGGATAATTTGGTAATTCCATTGCTCCTTATCTTCTGAAAGTCTTATAGTGAAGTTTCACTTTTTCCATTTGGAGCTTCATGGTCTTTTCATGTGGCTCATTTTTTCTATATTGGTTAATCAAAAATAGTGATCATTCAATTGAAATTCCCGTGTTTTTGTGAAGATTGGCAAGTTGTCATAAAGTTAGACTCTCTATTGTTGCTAATCTCTACATTCTTGATACCTGGAAACTGCTTAAAACTCCTAAAATCCATCTTGAATCTTTCTTGATATTGCTTTTTACTTGTTCTTGAAATTGAAATCCAAAGGAAATGGATAATGATTATTGAAATCCTCATTATCTTGATACTTGTCTGAAACTATTTCTTGAAACTGTTTCTGGCACTGTGCTTGGAATCGGGTCGTAAACCTTGCTTGAAATAAATTCTTGTTGGAATTCTACTCTTGAAAATCGACTGATATTGTCCTTGGAATCCATTCTTGAAAATCAATTGATATTTGGTTTTTGGAATCTAGTTTGAGTTGTCCTTGAAAACGTTCTTGTTCTGACACTGGTTCTTGCTCACATTCTGTATACTGCTCTTGCTCAAATCCTACATATTCTGCTAGTTCTTGTTCTAGTGTACCTATTGATCTTGATTTTTGATTTTGTTCATATGGCCACCTCTTTAGGAGGGGTGATGGTTATTGGAAAATACCTATATGAGGCATCCTCATTCTTGTCTCTTGCAAGCGTTAATCTCAGTATTCTTGATGTCCTAGCTTTGACTTGACTCTAGGATGTCTAGGATGACTTGATCATAAACCTGCTTAGCCTCCATGGGCTACGAGGTGAAGGGGTAGTCTTTGAAGTACTTGATGCCCTAGAGTTTGTTCCAAGAGAAATGGTTCTTTTATCTGGCTGCTTTGATTTTTTTTGTTGCCCTTTTAATTAGAAGACAGTAATCTTCTAAGCATCTTGATCCCAGCCATTGCTTTGTTCTGTTAATTAATTCTAGTACTTGAGGTGCTAGATCTTGACATCCTGTATCTGCTCTTGAATCCGTGTTCTAGTTGCCATTGTTGAAATCTCTTTTTTTGGGCCTAATCCTTGAATTCTATTGCTTGTTTCATGATTAACTCTTGTCTCTCAATTTTGACCGCTTGGTTAAATGCGATCTTGATTCTTGGTGAATGCCACTTTGTTGTTGAATTTTTGAGGCATTCTACCTTTGCACTCTTGTGTTCCAATATTCTTCCAAGCATTCATATTTTCCATTGATTTTATTCTGTTGCAATTCTTGAGATTCTTACATGTCATTTGATGGGTCTAGCTTTTAACTCTTGTTAATTGCTAAAATCAGCCTCTTGATTCCAGTTGCTTTGTTAAACATGATCTTGGTTCTAGTTAACCTTGTTTTGTGATAGAATTTATAAGGCATCAATGCACTCGTTCAATCATGCATGATCCATACATCTATTGGATGCTTATCCGTCTTTGATAGAGTTCAAAGTTTTGTTGTACTCGTTTTTAAATTCATGCCATTCTTTGCCAACTCGTCTTGTGTTGGGTTCATAGCGTAACCCCACAATTGTTTTTTTGTGGCTTTGGTAGGATTTATTTTATTCCTTGTGCTTTCCATATTACCCTAGCCTCTAGTAGCTTATTTCATGGTAAATCCTGTTAAGTAATTAATGTTTTGTTTTTTCTAAGATTAGTTGTGATTTGATATTAGAGTGGCGCAGCGGAAGTGTAGTAGGCCATGTTCTGTTTATAGGAAGTTGATGGGGCATTTGTTTTGTCTCAGATTGTGTGAAGCCATTCACCACTTGAGACGACCCTAGATTTGAGTTTTGGGGACAAAACTCCTTTTTAGGAGGGGTGAATGTAATATCCCAAAATTTCAGGAATTTTATCATTTAAGTTAAGGACTAAATTGTGGAAAAAGATTGTTTTGGGGCTTAATGGCAAAATGTTTAAAAGTTGAGGGACTTAAAAGAGGAAAATAATTGGATAAGGATCAGCTTCCTTCTTTTTCTTTTCTTCTTCCCCGCGTGCTTCTGCTCTTCCCGACCCTGCTGCAACCCGAGAGAAAAAAAAAAGAAGGAACCAAGCAAGCCGCCGGCACCAACCTTGAGAAACCGGTGAGAAAGTTTGGATTTCTCCTTCCTTTCTTGTTCTAGAACCCAGAAATCCTTCCCCCCATCTGCAGAATTTCGGATCTGCCTTGCTCTGCTCCTCACCGTCCGGCTGCTCCTGCTTTGTGGGTGTGATTTGTTCGGTTTTTTGGTAAGAAATAGCTCGAATTCTCCCTTCTCTAGCTTTGAATTGCCCTGGGTTTACTTTAATTGCTCTTGTTCCTCCAATTTTTGGGTAAACCCGTGAGCTTTCCCTGCAGCTTGCCGCCGGCCTCTTCCCCCCTGCAGCTCCGGTTTCTACAGCTGGAGAATTATGGTATGTGGCAGCTTCTCTAAGTGCAAGTTTAGCCATTTAATTGCTGCCCTTTGTGTTCGAAATTCTGGATTAATTAGGGGAGAAAATTGATAGCAATTAGACCATGATTTAGCTTAATTCAAGTGGGATTTATGTGATTGAGTGTTAATTGACTGCTGTGTGATTTTTGGAGAAAATCCTGTGAATTAGTTAGTGTTTTGGCTAATTTTTGGAAGTTGGAGTTACTGTTCACGGCACTGTTCACGGCACTGTTCACACCCCGAGGGCCAACAATTAACGGAGATTTAAATGTTTAGTTTGTGATATAAGAACAAATTTGAAGATGTTCGGTATTTTGATTAAATGTTTCGGGATATTTTGATTAGGTTCCCGATCGTTCTGTCAGTTAGTACTGAGATCGAGTGTTTGGTTTATGTGAGTGAGGTAAGTAAATTTATGGTAATGCCCGTACAGTTTTTAAAAGCATGTTTTGATTCGTTTTTGAAGTGATGGCGGGACTAAACTCGTTTTATGCAAAAGTAAGTATGACTGAGTTGAAGTGAAATGTTTTATGCTTTTCATTAAATTGAGCATGCCTACTTGAAATTTAAGTGATTGTCCTGATGATTTGAAAGTGATTGGTGAATTGTAATTTTCTTGTTAACTTCTGCCTGTTTTGTCTCCGATGTGGTCATGTTATTGTAACCCTACTAGTGGGGGTTAAACGCTAGCACATGTCGGCACATGTCGATATGTTAGTGATAGAGCCGGTTCGTACAAGTGACCTTGCTAGTGGGGATTATACACTAGTAATTCGTGTGCCTACCAGTGGGAGGTTTATAACACTGGCCGTGACCTATAGAGGAAACGTCTATTTCATTCCCGTACCGTATCCGTTTTTCGTGATTGCACTTGTTGGCATGCTATAAGTTTAATAAGGGGCACTCCATGTTTTACTTACTGAGTTTATCTCATAGTTTTTCCTTGTCCACCATTTTAGGAAGCGAAACCGAGGACGGGGAAACCATGGGAAGTGACGAGTTAGAAGGCTAGCCATTTTGTAAATTGACTATGGATTTTAGATGTAGATCATGCTCTTGTAAGTTAGATTGTATTTGGAGATTTTATGATATCAGAGTAGATTATAAAATTTGATCTTCAGATTTTGATGGTATCAGATTGTGGTATAATAAGTTCCGAGCCTTGTGCATTTGTGGGACCCTTCTCACGAGTGCACGGCGTCTGCCACGTCCCCGAATTTGGGTTCTGAGGCGACATGGTTAGTACATTTATGGTTATCACTATTAACATGTTGCAATGTTAAGTTAGAACAAAATTCATCATGAGTTCTCTACAATTCAAAACATTATAGATATTGGCAAACAATAATTGAATTGTATAAAAAGAGTCAAATCCAATGTTAATTTTAGAAAATTCTTTGATAAGAATAAAGTTGGAGGTTATCTCTGTGTTTTAAAGTTTAACAGTTACTCTATTAGTAATGTCTATATTACTAACAAACGCCATAATCTAATTGTCATTATGATATTTGAAGATTCATCCTCTACCAATTGGTTTGAAAAAGGTAGGCCCCTCAATATTATTGTTCAATAAAATATAAATGAGGTTTATGCCAATAAAATATACTAAGTTACCTATTAAAAAATCAGACTAAATAAGAAAAATTGACGAAAATTTAATAGTTTTATAAATAATAATATAAAGTCACCTAGAATCTTAAAATAAGAATTCTTATTAAACTTGTCATTTTTTTGGTTACTATTTCCCAAATAATGAATAAAAGTAAAGCAATCCAATGAATTTTGACATAAGAGAATCATCCATGCGCTTACCTCTTGTTTGATTTAAGGAAAACAAAATCCCTTCTGCTTGTTTTGCTAGACTAAAATGTAAAATAATAATAATAATAATAATAATAAAAGATGTTCAAAAAAAAATAATAATAAAAGAAGGAAGGAAAAATCCATCACTTCCTCTCATTTTTCCTCCAATTTTTTATCATCCAAATAGAGAAGTTTTTCCTCCTTTCCTCTTCCTTAAACAAAAAAAGACATTAATGTTAACTCTTAATCAACCAATAAAAAAAACAATAGCATTCTCAATATTTACAATATGGATGATTTTGTTTCAAAATTTCAATAAGTATCCATCCCCATGGTGCTTTTTTTGAAATTTTTTTGAAGGAGAAAAAAAATCTTCTCTAATCTCAATTTACAATAATTTATAAAAGTTTATCATATGATTTTTTTCTTTACAATATTAAATGGAAAATGTGTTAAGTAGTTAAGTTAGACTTGAATTGCATAATGAATATTGGGTTTTGTCATTAAAATGAATGATAAATTAAGTAAATACTTTGAAATTTGTTAAAGTGTTGGTTGAACTCAATTTACAATAATTTAGAAGAAAATTATTGTATTGTTAAGGGTACATTAAATGGAGTTCTCATGAGAGGAAGGGGAAATTGGCACCTTTAAATAGTATATTTGGTTTGAAGGAAACCGATGAAAGAGAACAAATGAGACATTTTTCTTTTAGGCAACTCTCTTTCTATAGAATTCGAGGCAACCCCTCCTTCATCCTTTTACATGTGCCATATAATTCGAATTTTGAAATGTTTACTTCCATTGGAAAGAAATTACCACTGAGCTATGTAGATCATTGGCAAAAGAAATGTGTTTTATAACCAATTAAATTATAACATTTTAAAATATTACAATCTAATTGGTTGACAAATCCGTCACTTCTCTTCCTTCAAACCAAACACACACTTATGAGAGATTTGGGCAAAAATCCTTCTTAAACCCCCAAACTTACCCCAAAATAGTACTTAAGCCCCTAAACTAAAAATGAAGAGATAATCCTTCCAACTCCACTAACAATTCAAATAAACCTATCCCACAAATGGTCCAAACAGTATTTCATGTTTAATATCACCTTGAAAGCATAGAAACCCATGAATTAGAAGAGCTTATTTGCATCATTAGTGCAATTTGAGGGCTTATCTACTTCATTTTTAGTTTAGGGGCTTAAATGCTATTTTTGGATAAGCTTAGGGGCTTAAGAAGGATTTTTGCTAGAGATTTTCAAATCCTAAAGCAAAAATATTTTTTTGTGTAAAAGTTAAGTTTCGTAGACAATTTCAAATCTTTTTTTAACTAAAATATTAAATTAGAATATTATTACCAAAATATTAAATATTAAGGAGTGTATCTCTAAATTGAAACTAATTTAAAACGTATTGAAAACAATTAAAAATATACAAAAATAAATACAGAATATTAGATATGACACAAATAAAGAATAAAATATTATTCTAAGAGGAAACAAAAAATACTCTATAAAAAATTTAACATAACGTACACCAACATAACACAATTAATAAAGTAGCATAAGAATATAATATGAAATCTGTGTTTTAATTATGAATTCTAAGCTGTTGAAACATGTAAATTACTAATAAGTAAATATATATCTAAAACTAAGAAGGAACATAGAAGTAAATACTTTTGAGAAAATTAAAGAAAATGAAATTAAAAAAAAAACTGAAAAAAAGAGAGGTAAATTAAAATGTCACCTAAAAATATTATGGTTTTAAATTGAAAAAAAAAATATTAAATATTAAATTCTAGTCCAAATTTAAATCCTAAAACTCTAAGCCATAAATTTTAAAAGCTTCAACTTTTAAATTCTTATTATTGAACTCTAAAATTTTAAAATCCAAAACTCTAAAATTATAAAACTAAATGTTAAATTCTAAAACTTTAAAATTTAAATTTCTATTTTTTTCATGTTAAATTTTAAATTTTAAATATTGAAACATAAAATTATTCTTCCTAAATTCTAAAAAAAATTGGGCTTAAGAATAATAAATACTTAATTTAAAAAGTAGTATAATAAAAAAAATCTAGTAATTTTTCTTTTATTATTGTGTATTAAATGTTTTAATGTACACTTTTCTCATATAATTTTACCCAAATAATTTATCAATTTTTGATTTAAAAAAATTTAAATTAACATAAGGTAACAACAAATAAATATTGAGGGTATAGTAGGCAAGTGGCATTAATTAAGCTTTTGGATTTGATTTTGTTTTTGTTTTTGTTTGTTTGTTTTTTTTTTTTTTTGCCATAATTTTGGACTTTAACATTAATTGATCTCATTAAATAATAGCTTAAAAAATACTCAATCATAGAACAAATTACCATATAAAGAAAGTTTTGTAATATATCAAAAGTACCTTAAATTAAGAATTATATAAAAATTTAGTACATAACATTATTTTCTTTTATTAGTTTCTCTCTTAAGAATTAGAATAATTTTTTAATGCAACATGACTATATAGTTGAGTCAAAAAAAAAAAAAAAATACCAAGTAGAAGATGAAGAGCATCAAATCTAATTCAAATCTAAAACAATTAACTAGATAAAGCTTAGAATTAAAAAAGAAATAAGTACAATTTTATGAAATGATATTAATAAAATTGGAATGATATAACATAAAAGGAGTTGGGTTATTGTTATACTTTAAATAGTTAATATCACATCATTTTAATATAATTGTTTATTATACCTTTACATTACTTTTTCTTTTTAAATTCTACATTTTTTTCTTAATAAATAAAAAATATAATAGTTAATTAAAATTAAAAAGTGTGGCATTAATAATTGAAAGCGTGATGATAACATAACCTCATAAAAGGGAGAAAAGTGAACTTTTCTATGCTAAGCTTTGTATGTATCTAAATTCAAAACTTTTTTGTTGATATTATTATTTTTTCATACTTAACTCTCTTTACATGAATAGCTTTAATATTGTTAAAAAAATAAAGTTTCATATTTTAGTTTTACAAATATTATATAATCACTATTTAAATTTTGTTAAATGGTATTAATAAAACTTAAAAAAATAATACAAAAGAAGTGAGCTTATTATTATACCCTAAAAAGTTAATATCACATTATTTTAATATAATTATCTATTTTGCCCTTACATTATATTTTTTCTCAAAATTCTAATTTTTTTTTGTTTCTTATTAATTAGTATTAGTTATTAATTACTTAAAAAAAGGAAATGGAAACGTTGCAAGAAATGGCTAAAAAAAAAAAAAAAA